GTTTGCAGTAGGCAAATTCGCGAAAATCGATAAGGTGTGACGAGTTTGACGGGTACTGACGGTGTGACGAGTTTGACGGGTTGACGGTTTGTGAAAATAAATCGTTGGTGTAAATTAAGTTTTGATGGTTCAGTGTGGTGTATAGGGGTCATTATAACATATTTAACGAGTTTTTGTTAACCGTAACTCATGCGAAAAAAAACTATTTCCTACCCTAAGCCAATGTGTTAGGAGAACACTATTAGAACTTTAGGATTTCTTTGGGAGAACATGCATTGTGAGAAACAAAAAGGTCTTAAAATTTGAGAGCTAGATTTAGATTCAGTATAAGATACTTGATGAATGGGATGATAATTGATAAGTTTACGGTTTGCAGTAGGCAAATTCGCGAAAATCGATAAGGTGTGACGAGTTTGACGGGTACTGACGGTGTGACGAGTTTGACGGGTTGACGGTTTGTGAAAACAAATCGTTGGTGTAAATTAAGTTTTGATGGTTCAGTGTGGTGTATAGGGGTCATTATAACATATTTAACGAGTTTTTGTTAACCGTAACTCATGCGGAAAAAAACTATTTCCTACCCTAAACCAATGTGTTAGGAGAACACTATTAGAACTTTAGGATTTCTTTGGGAGAACATGCATTGTGAGAAACAAAAAGGTCTTAAAATTTGAGAGCTAGATTTAGATTCAGCATAAGATACTTGATGAATGAGATGATAATTGATAAGTTTACAGTTTGCAGTAGGCAAATTCACGAAAATCGATAAGGTGTGACGAGTTTGACGGGTACTGACGGTGTGACGAGTTTGACGGATACTGACGGTGTGACGAGTTTGACGGTTTGACGAATACTGACAATAGTATGAAGATTTTACCCGATAAAATACATATGATTAAAAAGATGTTCGTAGGAAATAAACGATAAAAATATGTTCGGAGAGTACACATGATTCAAATACTACTAATTAAAAAGAGGATCATGTGTTCATGAAGAAGTACACACGATATGTTCTTAACATATTTAACATATTTTCTCGAAACAAATACTTGTCGGATTCATCCTCAATTGTTGCATCCAACTTTGCACCACCGAATGACTATTTTCATCTTCATGTAGATTAAAAAGAATATGTTCTTCTTCCCCTCTATTTGAAGAACACTTCGAATACCCTGAAAAAAAATGGTGATTGTAATCAGTGAGAACATTATGACAAGTTTGACTCATATGACCATTCATATTTGGTCATACTACATACCTGTGATGTCACACCGATTTGTTTCATCACGTTTGTATGTGTGACAAAAAGGCCCGGTTGGATGCGCTTCTTGCACATCCTATGACAAGTTGGATCAACACCTTCCACAACCATATACCATCCGCCTAAGCTTTCCACGCATTCAAAAGGAAACAACTGCAAAAAACATACCAAACAATTACATCAAACATCTATACTCGAACCCTCAATCACATTAAAAACTATACATAAAAAATTAACTTACCATAATAGGTATCACAAATCCCAGACAGTGCCATCTGTCCTTCGGTTTAGAGCTGCTTGTATACACCTTCCATATTTGATCGGTCATTTTTTCGAAGGTGTATCTCCCCCATGGAAACCATTCACAGAAGTCCAGATTATCGACCATGTCAACTAAGGCAGTGGGAATCACATCAGTGTTCTTGATGCCATGGTCTAGTACTCCGCCTAGCAAAACAAGTATTGCTAATCTTTTTCTATCTTCTACATCTGTGATTGGAGTGTTATTCAACTTTTCTATTACCCCTGATATGGTCACCTTTGAAGGCCCAAATGTTTTCATCTGAAACTGGCTTCACTGAAATCTACCCAATCTTTAGGATACTTGTCACAATTGAGACCGGAGATAATGGCATGTTCGGTGATCGAGTATCTGATGGGCACACCGTTCAGAACAAACCATAGCTCTTTTACCACTCCTTCCAACCTCAATGCACGGTGTAAGAGGATAGATGCCGGAACCATCTTCAATGTTTCTTCGCATTTAAGATGGAAGATGTGACGAAACTGTGACTCTTTGTTGAAGAATCTGAATTCTTCATTTGTCAAGGCCTTTTTTAAAGACCGAATGGTTTCATATGGATAACACTTCGTTGTAATCTTGGGAGCCTGATGAATGTCTTTCAAGTCATATACAAAAGGAACCTACAAAAACAAAATTAACACTCATTATCAGTTTTGTTTGACCAGTGTGACCAGTTTGACCAGTTTTATCATATTAGTCAAACTCGTCAAATTGGTCACACCTTTCAAATGCAATCAGTGTGACTAGTATGACCATTTCGTATGCGGCCAGTGTGACTAGTATGACAACATTACTTCGTCACTAGTTTTACTAGTGTGACGGTGTGACTACTTCACTGGTGTGACCAGTGACACGTGTACCCAGTTTGATAAAACTAGTCAAACTCGTCACACCCTTGAAGTGCGACTAGTGTGACGAGTGTGACCATTATGGTAGAAACCAGTGTGACCAGTGTGACGGTGTGACGACTTCACTGGTATGGCCATTGACGGGTGTACCTAGTTTAATCTGACTAGTCAAACGTGTCACACCCTTCGAGTACGACCAGTGTGACGAGCATGACCATTACGAAACTGATAGAGACAAAACTCTCATATGACTCGATTTTCAAACCGAAACCCTAATTTTTCTTAACTATAAAACTCGAATACTATAACCCATTCGACTAAGATCTTGTCTACCGTAAATATTTGCCCAACTACACACATATCAAATTAAAAAAAAAAACTAACTTTCTCGGTGAGTTATAATGAAAACCTTACCTAGATCTTCGCAAATAGAAGTCGAAAACGATGAAGACGAAGCCATTTTGAAGTGAAGAGAACAAATCGCACAAGAAATCGCCAATAAAATCGCCTGGAGAATGTCCGTTAGAGAGAAATCGTGAAGAAGGGAGGAAGAAGAAACTGAACAGTTTTTGTTTTACTTAATAATTTTTTATTTGGGAACTCCTCATTTTCTCTTTTTTTCACCATATTTCTCCAGATTATTACACGTGTAGTTTTTTAAAAAGATAGAATTGTCTTTTTAACGTTTTTCAATTTTTTTTTGAAACCCTAATTTTTCAAGGGTTTGTCTTGAAGTCCATGTTACTTTAAAAAAAGGTATATCTGTAATATCTCCGACCCATTGTGCAGTTGCGCCTCTTGTCTCACCTAACACGAACAAGAGAATCTGATCGTGTCGGAATCACAAAGCGGGAAGATGGGGATGACGCCGAAAATCGCGCCTTCGATGCTGTCGTCGGACTTCGCTAATTTGGCGGCGGAGGCCAACCGTATGCTCGCTCTTGGTGCCGATTGGCTCCACATGGACATCATGGTACATCCCTCTTCTTCCTCAATTTCGATCCTCTTACTCGATGCCTTTGGTGCTTTCGTCCTTTGGTTTTAGAGTGGTAGATTTCTGTTTTCTAATTCCAGCCCGAGCTTCGTATTACTGGGCGTGTTTGGATTCAGACAAGCCCTGAATCTGAATAAGGGAAAG